TCCATGAGCTCCACAGCCCTCCATTGGCTGAGGCCTTTTATGGATGAGACTCACCCAACAGCAGTGATTGGTCTATACGCTCTATGGCTAACTAAGCTACATCTCCTTTGTTTCCCTTTTCCCTATTCTCCCTCCCTCCGTCCGCCACAGGTTGTGTTTTTCCACTGCATGTTTAATACTTCTCTACTTTTCTAATTTTGGTTCTCCTCAGCTCTACCATCTGCCTCACAGTCCTCCCACATTTCCTTCACGTTACCTGCCGTGCAGACTGATGCCGGCTCTGCCTCCAGCCCTCGCCCCTCGCTGCGCTGCCCTCCCCCTGCCTGGGAACACCTCTGACCACAGCAGATGCTGAGGATGGCCATGGAAAACTCCAAGAGCTGCGAGTGCCTCCAGCAGGAAAAGCCTGCCAATCACAAGAGCTGTTGAAGGTTATTCCCCAGTAACCCCAAATTCTTTATATGCTGTCCTTAGGTATTCCTCTGCAGACACTTTTTGCTTCCCACGCTTGCTTCTGTGACTGTCTCCTAGCTGGTTTGGATTTGGCACCTGCCTGAGACCTGGGTCTGAAGAACACCCAAGCAGACTGGGTTAGAAGCGAGGCAAACAGCGTCCATTCTGCAGAGAGAAGGACCAGCGTCCGCACGGAGCCAACAGGGTCCAGCCTGGGACCCTGTGCGCACGCGGACTCCACCGAGGAGGCCGCAACACAGCGACTGACAGGGCACCAGCTTGCCCAAAAGGGACCTCTACTAGAAAAGAAACTATCAGGAAGAGGTTACCAGAGGCCGCTAGGAGAGGCAGCATTCAGGCTTGGCAGCCCAGGCAGCATATGTATAAATAGAGGAAAAGTAAAGAGGAAAAGACTGTACTTTGTAATCTAGAGTGGGAAAGGATGGATGAGAGAAAAAACAGAAACAGCAGCAGGTTGGAAAGCACCAGCTTTGGATGAGAGCATAGGGGAGACAGAAATCAAGCAGTTTTTGTTTTATTTTTAAATGACTCTGACCAGAAGTCCCAGACAGGATTAACCAAGTTGGGATTTACTGGAAGTAACATATAAATATGTCATTATGTCACCCCCTCACCTTTCTGCTTCTACTCTGGGTGGACAGGCAGGAAGGGCATAGAAATCAAGACCGAATAGAAGCCAACAAAACACAATGAGCAGCCCTTCCCTGTTTTCACACAACTTCCAAGAGTGTCAGGAAATGCTCTCAAACCATTTTTGCTCAACTGGAATACACTCGCCTACTTGTAACATTGCCTTTCGTCTGCCTTCTGTTCAGCCAAAATACAGCTGCAGTTTCAATGGACAAGCTAGAGTCAGCCATGCTGTGTTTTTTTCCAGACCTGTTAATATAAAGTAGCCCTCAAAGCACAGGGTGGCTTTTAATGTAGGTTTACATTTTAGAGCCAGCCACTATACACGCTTGCTGTTCTCAGCAAGGTCTCACACTCCAAGAAAAGTCCCATTCCAGACTCTTACCAGGTACCAACTTAAAAACATTCAACAAGGGACCTGACTTCCCAGCCTCCCCACTTCCCACATTTATTTTGCTGAGGACATTGTTGCTCTGCTGTCTGCAGATTAAATCCACTTGCCACCACCTTAAAAAACATAGGGCATTTTTTCCAATTGATTACAAAATAGATGGTCTTCCACATCTTTTTTCTTTCGAAGGAAGAAAGAGTCACTCCTTTGTAATATCAGATCTTACTGATCTCTGCAAACACTCATTCTAAAGGATTACAAGGAAATTATAGACCATCGTTCGCATTATCAACTAAAGGCTTGCTGAAGAGGCTGAGGGAACTATACACACACTCGAGTCTCCTCCATCTCCATCAAAGCTAAATATTTTAGCTGATGCAAACACTGACAGCAAATGTGCAAACCCCAAGGCTCTCCTCTCTCATGCTCCAGGAATCTGATTTTATAAGAACTGCTACAGGTTCAGCCTTACAGACACACTTCGGAGAGTTGGTGGCTACTCTAAATTGAAAAGCCAGAGTTCAAAACTGAGCATTTTAAACCCAGGCCTCCCACATTCCTCCTTCCTGACAACACCATTTCCTGCTAACACTCCAAATTCATGTCCAGAAAAACAAAAATCTGTACTCTGAATTTTAGTAGAGCTTTAGTACTAGGTGCTACAGTTATGTCCACAATTAAGTGCTATGTAATAACTAATGACAGAAATGTACAGGCTACAGGAATTTCATGACTGAGAAAGAATAATGCCAAAGTTTAGCCGCAGTTGAGCTGAATTTGAAGGATCTAAACATGAAGGTCAAGCATTTTACTGCTACATTAGACAGGCAGACTGTATTTCGGAAATAAAATGCCGCTTTGCAGAACACTTTGGGGTTAAGTGTTGATAATCTGAAAATATCTAGACAATTTAGCAGCATAGCATATTTAATAGAATAAAAGTTTTTATAACAAAGGCAGAAAAAAAACTGAACAAAGAATGCAACATCTTGCTCTTCCCAACTTCAGTCTTGGATAACATCACTACCCATTTTTTCAATGCTCCAAAAACCCATTTCCCCCCTCTCTCTCTCTCTCCTTTTTTCTTTTTTTTTTTTTCTCTCAAATGAGCCTGCATAGCATATGCTTGCTTCAGACTTCAGGGAGGAATTTATTAATACTACTTGTTTTTTTTTAATGGAACTACAAAAATCAAGCATTGGCAAGCAAGAATTATCGTAGCTTAACTAGTCCTCTAAAGAAAACTGAACCTAAACTAGATTACACTACCTTTCCATGAAGTAAGGTCTCAGAAGAACAGTTACTGTGGCTTGTCTAACGGATGGTAACTTGTTAACCATGAGCACTTGGAGGCTCAACCAGTTAACCCAATGGTCACTTTTTAGCATTTTTTTTTCGCTCTGTCTACAGTGTAAAACCAAATTTATGGCAAAACTAAAGATGTCAGTTAGACCCAAACAGTGTCCATACAGGACTCATCTCAACTGTTTGCTTCAAATCAGGCAATCTAAAGAAGGGCTATGGCTAATTTAGCCTTCAAAAACATTACAAATTCCTCCCTGTCTGAGAAGAAACACAAGGAGCTCAAACCTCCCACCTGGGCAAACGTGTCCATATTACAGAGAAACTGCACAGAAGAAATGTCAGCATATGTAGTCACTTCAACCAGCTATTACTGCATAACCTGCAGAAGAAAACGCCTGTATGAAAACTTCTGCTATCATAGAAGTTTTCCTAGGTTAATAACAGTAAAACAAAAAGCAGAGGTGCAAAGGGAGAAAGCATTTTGAGGAGAGAGGGAGGGAAGACCCCCGTCCAGAGAGGAAGCCGAGCAGCTGCCCGAGCGGCCTTGGTGACAGGCGCCAGGCTCCAGCACGTGGCCGCTCCTCAGGGCCGTTCCAGCCCCAGAGCAGCTCGGGTGCAGACAGGGACACAGAGCAGAGCCATTGGCAGCTACTCCCTGCCTAGGGGCAGCTGCTGAAGGGCTCCAGGCCCCTTTAGAGGCTCTGCAGCTGAGGAGACCTGACATCAGGCATTATGTTCAGGGCTGACACCAGAGGAGGTCAGATTTAGAAGGAAAAAAAGTGGGATAATGGGTCTGGATTGCATAGAGCTCTGACTGTAATTTCTGCTAGCACAAGTAGCATGCAGTTCGGGCCACACCTGGTAAGAATAAATCAGTACTATTCTCCTTCAGTGTTTCATGAATAATCACTCTAGTAAATACCCTGACCTTGCATCATCTGTTGCTGTCTTACTACGAAGGGAGCTGCTGTCCCTAGGCAAAGACAAAGAACATATTGAGAAAGAGAGGTCTGAATAACAAGTGTAAGATTTACCATTACCATGAGCCAGGACAGCCCCAGCCCATAAAATTAAGAATGTTGTTGAGGATTTGGGAGGTTCAGAGCTGTCTTCACTTTAGGTTCAGAAAATAAAAGTTCTCAAGGGCCCAAATTAGCAAATTATTCCTGCTTATAATAAAAGACTTCACTGTTATGAGCCATATGACAGGTGGTGCTCAGCCCCTTCCTACATCAGGCAACCTTGCAGTATATAGGCATGCAGTAAAAAGCAGCATTTTGATAACTCCAAACTTTGAAGAATTTACTCCAATAAAACACAGGTGCCACCCCTGCACTGTGCATAGTGAAGTACCAATCTGGCAATATGTCTGTGCCCTTACAGAGAGGGAAGGGATATCGATGAGCAATGTCACTGCTGTTAGCTGCCACAAAGCCAACTAGCCGTGGGCAAGAGTTATTAGCAAAGAATAGCTCTTGAAAACACTACATATGTGGTTCCTCCCCTCATTTAAGAAGGTCACAGAAGTGGGTAAGACCCAAAGAAGGGTCCATGACAAGGACCATCCCCAAGGTAACATTTAATAAAACCAGGATTCCTCGGGCTGAAAACCGTAACTGAAGGGGGATTGCAGGACCTGTAATACAGTGACAATAGAAAGAAATGCTCCTTCCCCCTTCTAGCACAAAAACCAGAAGGCATCAAATACTGCTAGTGGGAAACAGGATCATATCAAACAAAAAGAGGTGGTTCCTGGCACACGGAAAGGCTGGGCTGGAAACTCCTCACTTAGGATGTTACAGATGCTAATAGTTTAAGTGAGTTTGGAAAACAAGTGGTCAAATTCATGAAAGAGAAGTCCAGGATACCAAATACAGAAACACTGCTCCTATGTTTTGACTTAGGATACTCCAAGCCACAAAGTTGCTGGAGGTTAGGAAAATACTGTGGGGAAACACCGCTAGATGCTTAAGACCTTAACTTCTTCCCGAGTTGTCATCTAAAGGCTGTTGTTTATGGAAGATAGGAACTTCGGGAGGCCTTCAACCGTACTGCACTAGATCACTCCTGTGTAGGCATCTCTTTTTAACCAATAAAACCCTAAACATGAGCATCATTTTCAATGCAATTGCCCATGCATTAATTTCATAATGCTTCACTCATTTCCCCTCTCCCTTGCTTTTCCTCTCTCTCTTTTCAGATTAAAGAAAATCCAGATGGGGTGCAGGTGCTGCAAAATGATACAAAGGTACAACAGAACAAAAAAAATGCTTAGTCAAAAAAAGTACTAAAATATACATCTTTGCTCCTCTATATTTGTTACTTAAATTAAGACTATTTATCAACTTTGAATTAACCCAAATTTACTATTTTTTGTAAATCATGTCAGAGCACAGGTATTCTGATTTCCTATGAACATTCTTTTGATTTACTGTAATCAAGGGTCTTCTCTGTATTTCCCAACACACAGAAAGGTTGTGTGGCATTTAAAATTTATCTTTGCCACAGTGTTTTTCTGTTACTAGAGTGAAACGAATAAACTTTGCCAGACCCTCTCTTTTCCCCTAAACGTTCAAAGTGAGCTATGGATTCTTGCTGCCACAGCTTTTAAAGGTAGTTAATTGTGAGAAGGACTCCCACATCTAAAATCTCCCAGTAGAAGATTGCCAGTTCTAGGAAGACAACACTGCAGCCCCATTTGCTTATTGCTCCCTAACACATCTCTAAATTCGGTAAGGAAGGTGGAAAGGAAGCTGGTGATATGAAAGAGGAGAGAGAAAGAAGACAGACTTTGAAAGAAATAAGTCAAGGAAAAATTAGGGCGGGGGGAACAGAGCAAAATAAAATAAGGAAAGAAGGACAGAATTACGAAAAGAAATGGACAAAGAGACAAGGCTTGAGAGAAAAATACCAGAGAGGAAAGAGGAAAATATATATATATATTGGCAGTTACATGGGGACACATTAAATAAACAGTCTATATGATGACTACTCATTGGCTAATCTAACCTCAAGAGGAAATATAAAGCTGGAAACATGGAACAACTAGCTGACATCTCTGTGCTCCTGGTGAATCTCACTCCAAGGGTTAGTTACTGTCTCCCTGCAGGCTACAGCGCAGTTCATCACTGCATTCACATCACAGGACCCCAGGTAAAGCTTAGTGGCATGAGCTCCCCCAGATCACCAGCTTAAAAGTTAAAGATAATCCTTTTCTGTTTTCTACTAGTCAACAGCTGAATTAACATTTCCTTTATAAATTTTCCCCACACCAGCTACATTTTTGATCCAGAAGAGGCACAATCACCTGGATACATTCATGAGGCGAACAGCTACAAACAACACGGGCAAGACAGCAATAACTCCAAATTCAAACAGAGTGGTGAAATTGAAGAACACAAAAATGAACTCCAGAAGGATGAGCTAAAGAGAACAGAAAATAAAAGTCAGGTGAATAGTACAAAAGAAGCTCTCCGGAACCACAGAGGAAATGCTTTTCAGGAGGATGACCCCGAGAAGGGTGTTGCAAAGCTTCATGTTGCAGTCAACGGTGGCAACTCCTGCACTGGAGCTCACCCCGGGCCCAATCCCAACCCAATGAAGGAAACTGGCAAGCAGGGAGCCTCCAGCTCGTCCGCAGAGTCTTCTGTGGCCACTGCGAGAGACTTCTACACCAAACCTGATGAGTCTGCTCAAAACTTTGACCTAGAAGCAGGCAACCACAGTAAGTCACCCTGTGCAGAGCCAGACAGTGTTCAAGATGGAAACTCCTACGTAGCAGAGAAAAACACCTCTCTCATAGAAAGTGACATACTGGCGACACAAAATAATGCCATGCAATTGCCAGACACAGATTATCCCCAAAATGACAGTCAAACCAGGAACTGTGTTGAAAAAGACACCCTTTCAGTCAATTATGCACATCCAGATCAAAACACGAGGCCTTCAGCAAAACAAGACCAGTACCCTTATTTAACTCTGCCTTTACATATGAAGGAAAACAGTGCTGAACCTTTTAAAACTTATTCTGTGAGCGAGGACATTCCTGATGGTACCACTGTCAAAGGCCTTCCCTCAGCAGCACAGGCACCTACGCACCCCGACCACGAAGCTACCAATGGAGAAACTGAGGAGGAAGACGCAGAAGTGGCGGCAGCTCTGGCTGCTCTGGAAGCTGCAACTGCAGGGGAAGATCTGGAAGATGATGATGAGTACTAGGGGAAGGGTTCTTTCTAATACACTGATGGGTCTGATTCTGGATCTAAATGAATTCATGTGCTGTACACATGGACCACTGTTATGAACAGCACAAATAAAAGGAATTGGGACTCTGTCCCTTCAGCTGTTAAAATGTGGCCCTTTAATTTCTACTGCCTACGGTACAAATGAGCTCCCTTGGCTAATGGTAGAAATAAGGCCCTTCGTGGTGGGCATCCAGGAGGGCAAAGTATCATTTGTTTGCACAGGTTATTCTGCTGTGGGGCCACCTCACCTGGGCTCATACAAATATCTCCTTCAGGTCTGAGCCTCAGGAGGGTTCACGTCAGGTCCAAAAAGCTTCCATTATTTAAAACAGAAACCATATAGCTAGAAACCACAGACTTTTGTGATTTTAGCATAAAGCTGATGCAAGAATGCAATAAAGAATGCAGGCTTGCATGATAACTTCATCTCTTCTCTTACATTTGCCCTGGACTTTTTTCTGAACCCCCAATAAACTTTTAGTTGATTAAAATGACAGAAGCATAACCCAGCTCAAAGTGGGCAATTTTCTGCGGGATAATAAGCTGAAACAGCTCCCAAAAATCACATATGCAGAGTCAGAGGCATTGAAGAGTTGGTCCAAAGTCAATTCTGCTGTATAGGAAGACTAAGTGTTGTGAAACTGCAGCCTGAAAACCTCTCGACTCTCCTGAGTTTCGCAGCACAGCTCACTTGCCTGAACAGTCCTGTTTGCAAACAGGCTCATAAGGTCCTGCACGAAATACATCCTGTTTATACAGTCAAGGTTGGTGGGGTTCCCTCTCTGACTTAATTGCAGTCTCTAAATTGAAATCAGGAAAGGGATTGTGCTTCCTAGTTGAGTTAAGCAAAAGACCTGAAAACCTCAAGCCTGTATGTTGGCATGTTTACTCCTTCTCCCATCTCCACACTGTCACGTCATCCAAAAATGGAATGTAATGTCTGGAATAGAAAGTGCTTGAAATTTTATTTTGAAATTTTGTGGTTTCCAAGTCACTCAGAAACTCTTAACAAAACTATTTTAAACATATTAAAGATCATCAGGTGACTTTTATACTTTATGCATTTTCCGATTATGTAACAGTTGCATAAACAAAATTGTAAGATTTTCTTTTTTAGACATACAAAAAGCACCAATTGTATATTGTCAACATTAAATGCTAAACCCTAGTCTAATCAGTAACACAGTCTATCTAAAGATAAGAATTTTAAGCCATGTGTAGATACTCAAAATATTTTTGTTTAACTACAGACCCCCCTGCTCTTCCAGATACTACAAAGCCAATCAATAGTTCCACTTCTCAAAATGTTAATATGATCGTGATTTGAAAACTAAAGTTTCACTTTCAAGACAACTAAACACAGCTAAAGATCAAAGTCACCGTATTGTATTTGTAAAATAAAAAAGTTTTATGTATTTTAAAAATATTGTAGCAGCGTTCATTTTTTCTCCAACACCTTCTCAACCCTTTCCAGTGCAAACCGTATCTCCAACTGCTTTGCGACTTGTAAAAATGCATTAGCAGTAAATCACTACACAAATTCCAAAGCAGCCTGCAAAGCTGAGAAGCAGCATTAAGTAGGAACATTTAGGAGAGCACTTCTAGCTTTTTCATAGGTGCATATAAATGTTATACATGCATATGAGTATCAAGCATTGCTATAATACTGAACCACAGTAGGTGGCTATTTCTGCACACTGCATATTACTGGTTCTGGCTGTGATGGGAAATAACCTATTTCTGCTATTATGTGGCCAAACTGAAGCTCTAAGCACACAGAGCCTCCCTGCCCCTCGCTGCCCCTCCGGCCCCCCGGGACCGGCCCCGCGTAGGGAGAAAAGACCTCGGTTCAAAACGCTGAAGAAGGAAACGCCACACACACCCTGGGAAATCCAACCAACTTGCCCACACCCTCTCCATTAGCTCGAGGGGTTGGTTGGTTGGTTTGTTCGTTTATAACCTCCAGCCTCGGCTTTTGTTGAAGATCAAAGCATATTCTCAGCACTTGCTGCGAATTAAAGCATGCTCTAGGCCTGCACCTCTCCACATGGATGCCAAAATCAAACACGGTCCCCTGGCACCTCACACAAGGCAGCTCTTGTATGGCTATAACGAATCCGTTGGTTGGTGCGGCCCATAATCCTGGGGCCCTGGGCCTAAAGCCTATGTTGGGCCACGAACAACGCATTTACCGCAAACCAGGTTTCCAGGTTTCCATTACAAAAGAAGAAGACAGACAAAATACAACATAAATTAAGCATATTGACTGTGTAGAAAATAACTGGATAATGGGCCAGTGCTTTTCTTAGCAGCCAAGTAAATCAGGCAATCGCTTACCTCGAATCTGCAGGATGCAGAGATTCCATAACTGGAGCAGGGCATCTCCAACAGGGAGCGTTTTCCTATGCTCCTCGCGCAGCTTTCACAGAGCTTCCTTCCCCTCCCGTCCCACCAGGTCGCAGCGGAAAGAGATGGTGTCAGGAATTCTTAGCCACTTCTCATGAAGTGATGCCTAAGTATTTTGGTTTTCTTTTGACCCAAAAGGAAATAACATGTGAGCTGGGTGGAGTTAAGTGTAAAGACTTATATGTACTAATAAAGAACCCTTAACAGGAGGGAAAACTGTTATAAATGACAGAAGCTCAAAGAAAGACCTTGTATCTTAAGAGCTCAGATTTTATTGATTATCCCTGAAACTAATGATACAGCTTAAAAGGATATTATTGCAGTATATAAACAATGAAATATTGTACAGGAGTCAAAATACTACTTTTTAATTTGACAGTGGATCATTATGGAGAATCACTGGACTAAATTATGAAAAAAATTCAGACCACTGCAGAGATTGAAAATATGTCAGCAGTCCCGGGAAACAAGCAAGCAGCCAGTCCACAAGACTCCAGTTCTTTCAGTAACTTGGTTCTTAGAGAGAACACTAGTGGGCAACTTTGTTTACAAGGCAAGAGCAGAAACTAAAATCTAACATTGCAGAATTGTTCAGTATAGCAAACAAAGCGAAACGAGAAGCTGGAACTTGGAAATCAATAAATTCCATGCAGATTCTTGTTTTTCTTTTAAATAGGCAATCAGCCAGGCAAATGTTGCTATAGAGACTTCTTATTAAAAATAAAATTTTGTTAAAGTCTATTATTTTCTAAAGGATCCTTCAGGGTTGATTGCTTTAAAATAACCTAAAAATACTAATTTTATCATCATTTAAATCATGAAACAAGAAACGCTGGTTTTAATATAAGCAAAATTAATTTTGACCTTGTGTTGTATTTGCAGTTTTAATTTCCTAAGTGCGATTTTATTTTCCAGAAGATTAATCCCTGCTGATGTACCACATTTTGTTAAACGAGAACAGAATATATCAACATTTATTAAAGCATGTGCATATGGTATTTTATATGTTTATTTAAATGCTTAAGTTGTATATTTTAATTATGTTGAAACTATGAATCTTAATAGATTACTATCTTGAATTGTCATGCTGCCCCTTGCATGTAGATGATATTGGAATCCATCTAAACGCATCAAGAGCAGCACTTAAGATTAAATGCATTAAATCTTCTTTAATGTACTCACAATACATAAGAAAGCAAATCTATCAAAATTATAGTCTACATTAAAAATGACTCCATTTTTAAAGGAGGCAACAAAACTGTTTCAGATGTTGTTGGCTTCTAGATTTTAGAATGCCTTCATCTTAAAGTTTAAGACTTTTTGAATAGACTGAGCAAGCTCTCCATCAAGAAGTTTCCTTGGCAAAGGATTTATTGTCCTACCATCATGAAATGAGAACTCCTGAGCTCTGTCCCTGGCCAGGCTTTCCAATCTTCACACTCCCATGTATGCAAACAACTCAATCTGGGGACTCTTCCCCCATTAGAAACTTCCCTTAGGGGTTTAAGGGAGGATTGTTTTTTTTAAAACTTTCCCACATTTTGAGGCCTCACATTCATTTCCAATCTTTAAATCAGGCAATCCTTGAATTGAACTGGTTGGATAAACTGATAATAAGTAATATTCATTCTGCAGCTACAGATGAGTGTACTCCTGATTAAGCACTTCAGCAAACTCTGTCCCACAAGCTTAGTGCCCTTTTCCATTTCAATCCATGAGCTGCTGAAATTCTGAAAAAAGCTGAACGTGCTTCCCCATTTCTATAGGAGAGGACAAAAATATTGTGCCTTCATGTAAATAATCATGATTTACCAGATGAATTCTTTCCATTTTTTATTGTTAAATACTATTTTAACTTGCTAAGAGGCTTCAATCCAACTCCACAATAGGTCTCTGTCATACAACTCATCCTCCACTTCTTTTGGGTGCTGCCTCACTGCCTTAACCCTCTTCTTCCTCACCCTGTTTGCCAAAGTACAGTTCACAAGCAGCCAATTCACAACCAGCATCATAAACAACAATCTACAACAGCCTACACCACCCCCTGATCTAAATCTTGATTGCAAGAACCATAGGTTAAGCTGCACACAGCAGGACTTTTCTGTACTTCAAATCTATATGTTGCCAACTGAAAAAACCTTTATTGTATAGCAAAGCAAACAAAACAAGTCCTCCAAGAAATACAACTTCCAAACATTAAGCCAGGCTGTAGATGATTTACGAAAAGCTGCAGAACCAGCCCCACAGTAAAGCTGTGTCATGGGAAGGCTGGGGTTTTATACACTTGCTCGCGGAGCCCGCGGATGTTCACACCGTGCTGGAACCTGGCTCAGCTTTTGGGAGGCCCCCAAGTAGAGCCGGGACAAGGCAGCACCTGCAGCTGCTCACTGGAGTCACTGGAGGTTTTCCAAGAACGTGTGGCCACATATGCTCTCCTCTGCTCTCAACACATGGAGCTGTACCCAGAGATAGCATGTAAATCACCTGGCCTAACCCAAAAGGACAGCAAGATGAAGTGACAACAGCTATACGACTA